AAACCTCCAGTGATGGATCACCCACCACTTCTGGGGAGAAGCCATTCCACTAATGAATTCTTCTCACTGTCAGGAAATTTCTCCTTAGTTCCAGGTTGCTTCTCTCTTTGGTTAGTTTCCATCCGTTGCTTCTTGTCCTTCCTTCGGGTGCTTTGGAGAATAGCTTGACTCCCTCTTCTTTGGGGCAGCCCCTGAGATAGTGGAACACTGCTATCAGTCTTCTTTTATCTTTTAAACTATCAGTCTTCTTCTATCAGTCTTCTTTTCACTAGACTAGACATGTCCAATTCCTGCCACCGTTCTTCATATGTTTTAGCCTCCAGCCCCCCTAATCATTTTTTATGCTCTTCTCTGCACTCTTTCTCCAAAAGAAGAGAGAGAGAGAGGACGAACATCTGAGATTGCAGCCCTCTTTCTTTGATGGTTCAGGAGCTTAGAGCAAGTGTGCAGAATTTTGTTCCATTTTTTTTCTTCAATGAGTGTGCGGGAATATCTTTAGAAAGAGGAGTGTGGAAGAGAAAACTCTCACCATCAAAACCCTGCAAAGGGATGTGTGTCAAGAAGGCAGGACAAGAAGCAACGGATGGAAACTAACCAAAGAGAGAAGCAACCTAGAACTAAGGAGAAATTTCCTGACAGTGAGAACAATTAACCAGTGGAACAACCTGCCTCCAGAAGCGGTGAATGCTCCAACACTGAAAATTTTTAAGAAGAGACTGAACAGCCATTTGTCTGAAATAGTTTAGGGTTTCCTGCCTGAGCAAGGGGTTGGTCTAGATGACCTCCAAGATCCCTTAATAATAACATTATTATTATTATTATTATTATTATTATTATTATTATTATTATTATTATTATTATTATTATTATTATTATTATTATTATTATTAAGGTTGCTGGTTAGTTTACCTGGAAGAACTTTGGACCACCTGCCACCCCTTCCTCAATTAATTCTTCAGCCTGTCTGATTAACTATCTCAGCTGGTGTATGTATAGGCCAGGGGTAGGCAACCTTGGCTCTTTTATGACTGGTGGACTTCAACTCCCAGAATTCCTGAGCCAGCCATGCTGAGGGGAAAGGGAGAGGTTTCCAAGCTGAGCCAAGCTGGCTCAGGAATTCTGGGAGTTGAAGTCCACGAGTCATGAGGGGCCATAGTTCCCCCATGCTGGCTCAGGAATTCTGGGAGTTGAAGTCCACGAGTCATGAGGGGGCCATAGTTCCCCCATGCTGGCTCAGGAATTCTGAGAGTTGAAGTCCACGAGTCATAAAAGAGCCAAGGTTGCTTACCCCTAGTATAGACAGTCCTCAACTTACAACACATTGTTTGGTGTCCGTTCAAAGTTACAACGGCAGTGAAAAAAGGGACTGACGACCATTTTTCACAGTTACGACCGTTGCAGCATTCCCCAGGATCACGTGATTAAAATTCAGAAGCTCGTCAACAGACTCATATTTATGACAGTTGCGGCGTCCCGAGAGTCCCGTGACGCCCTTTGTCGACCTTCTGACAAGCGAAGTCAGTGGGGGAAACCAGATCCACTTCACAGCCGGGTTACTAAGTTAACAATTGCAGTGACTGACTTAACAACGGGGGCGAGAAAGGCCATATAACGGGGCAAAATTCACTTATCCAACGTTTCCCTCCATTGCTCAATTGCGATCGTAATTTATTTATTTTCTGGATGTTTTTATTGGGTTTTTTTTTTAATCCCAAAGATGCTTTTTTCCACAAGGCCACTGGATTTTCTTGTTTTCCTTTGTTTTTTTTTTAATGTTCTTTTTAAAAAATTGTTTTAATGCTTTTATCGTTTTAGAATGGTAAGTTCCTCAGAGAAATTGAACAAGCAAACAAACAAACAAAAAATTAAGCTTAATTTAAAAACGTAACACGAGGGACAAAGAATGGATTCTCAGTTTTATCTGCGTTCCTCGATGCTTTGTCAGGCAAAAAATAATAATAATAACTGTACGTGTTTGACTTTACAAAATCTTGCTTTGAATCCGTCAGACAGGATGGCCTGAGAAGGATGGATGCTGTTCCATACCGCGGAGGGATATTGGAAATCTCGTCTCTCTGGAAGTGACAGAAAGACGATCTTTTATGTTTTGGCAGCGCAAATATTCTTCTTTGCTGTACATTAGAAGGCTCGAAATAGCTTCGGGAGATCCTGTGACCAAATAAAACATCTGGATCTGGTATGGAACAAAGATTTGATAGGTATATTTGGAAATACTGCTCCTGGATTAGATACAGAACACCCAATGGCATGTTTTAAGAGAGGAGGAGGAGGAGGAGGAGGAGGAGGAGGAGGAGGAGGAGGAGGAGACAGGAAAAGGAAAGAGGGAGGAAGAAAGACAGGGAATGAGAAGGAAGCAAGAAAAGAAAAATGAGGGAAGGCAGGCAGGCAGGAAGGAAGGGAAAAGTAAGAGGAGGAAGAGAGAAGGAGAAGAACAAAGAAGAGAAGGAGAAAGAGAAGAACAAGCAGGAAAAGGAGAGGGAGGAGGTGGAGGAGGAGAAGGAGGAGATGGGAAAAGGAAAGAGGGAGGGAAGGAGGAAGGAAGACGGAATGAGAAGAAAGAAAGAAGAAAAATGAGGGAAGGAAGGCAGGCAGGCAGGCAGGAAGGAAGGAAGGAAGGAAGGAAAAAGGAGAAGAGAAGAGGAAGAACAAGAAGGGAAGGAGATAGAGATGAAGAACAAACGAGAGGAGGAGGAAGAGGAGGAGACAGGAAAAGGAAAGCAGGAGGGAGGAAGGAAGGAAGGAAGATGGAATGAGAAGAAAGCAAAAAAAGAAAAACAGAAGGCAGGCAGGAAGGGAAAAGGAGGAGGAGGAGAAGAGAAGGAGAAGAACAAGGAAGAGAAGGAGAAAGAGGCGAAGAAGAGGGAGGAGGAGGAGAGGGAGGAGAGTAAGGAAGAGGAGGAGGAGGAGGAGGAGAAAGAAGGAGAGGGAGAAGGAGGAGAGTAAGGAAGAGGAGGAGGAGGAGAGGAAG